ACCGAAAATCCGGACAGAAACTCTCTAACACCAGGACTTAGCCAGGACCCCCAGCATCTGAACCCCGGACTTGGGGAGCCAGAGACCCACTTTGGGGTTATCCCCCCTTCTCTGCCCCCCACATCCATCAGGGGCTGGAGCCTTGCTCCATACAGCCCAGGGTAGGGAGGGTTGGGGGGGGCTCCCGCACCAGGTCCCCTGCCCCTTTCACCCCGGGGGGACTCGGTGGTCTCCGGTAAATGGGCCAAAGCTTTGCAGTTTGTTATCCGGGGGTACATGTGTGCGTAACCCACCGAGCTGGCCATCCCCATCACCCCAGCTCTGGGCTGCCTTAGCCCTGGAGAGTGGGGGGGCTGCAGCCCACCCTTCAGTGCTGTTCCCAGCAGGAGGGGAGGGGGCAGCCCAGCTGCCTGGGTCCCCTCCCCAACCCCACTTTCTCATGTTTGGGGCAGGGGACTGTAATTTCACTCCATCTCAGGAAAGGCAGCCAGGGTATAACTGGGGCCCAAGGGGTGTTCATAAAGAGATTCAGCTCATCCTTGCCTCCTCTGAGGACAGGCTCTGAGACCCCACGTGTCCCCCCAGCAGAGATGGGAAGCCTGGGACAGATCAGCCTCTCTGCTTAGCCAGGATGGAGGGGTAATGAAGGCTTGGGATTTGGGGACAAGGACCCTGCTGTGCCAGAACAGACTGACCATGCTGGGCCTGCTGCCAGTCCACTGACTGCCCACTTATGCACTGAATTCCTCTGTGCTCAACCTCAGTTGCCAGTGTGATAACTGAGGGGGTCACAAAGCTTTCTTGGGGGGTTGTTTCAGCCCCTGCTTGGGTGGCTGGTGCCTAAAATGAGAGGTGGCGACACAGGGAGGGGAGGAGGACAAAAGCCAGGCATGACTGGGAGCATCCTCCTGGCTTGGCTCCTCTCAGCTGGCTGCCTCCAGCACGGAAAGAGCCCCTTGTCTGCAGGATCAGCCGCTTCACTGCACTTGTCTGGACGGTGAGAGAGGAAAAAAGGGCTTGTGACTCTTGCAAAACGATGGGGAAAGGAAAGGGGCGCCTGGCTTGAGAGCAGCTTCCTGAGAGGAGACAAGGAGCAGGGTACAAACCGGCTGAGCCATGACCGTGTAGAACAGCCTGTCCAGCCCCCTGCCAGCCCTGTGGCTCTCCAGGCCATGGTGGGTTCAGAGCAGGCTGGGCTCTGCCTGGTGGACTGCCAGGGAAGAAAGATGAAACCTAGTGGGTCTGGGTTGAGCAGCTCTGTCCCGCCGGAGGATGCTTGGTGTTTTGGGGCAGGAGGTGGTTGGGGAGCCCCAGGATGGGAAGGATGTGGCTGTGTGACTGGGGGTCAGAGGGCCTGGGACATCTCTCCTGCACATCATGTAGCGTGACCGCTCAGGGCAAGCCAGCTGGGAGCCAGAGTGGTGGGGGTGTCCCCTCTGCCTTAGTAACACACATCCTCCCTCTTCGCAGGCCAGGATGGCTCCTCGAATCTAGCCAGGCAGGCCAGAGCAGTGCCAGAGATCCCTGCCCAAGTGATGGTGGGACTGGGATAGAGGAGCTGCCACGAGGATGTCTGAAGCCAAGACCCTGAGCTCCTCTTGCCTCGTGCTTTCCTTGCTCTCCGTGCACTGGGCTTTGCTCCAGCTGGGCCAGGCTTTTCCCAGCACCTCTGACTACCTCCAGCGGGGCTGGCAGAGGCTGCTGGAGGAAGGGGAAGGCTGCGGGGAGTGCCAGCCGGAGGAGTGCCCGGCGCCGCGCGGGTGCCTGGCTGGCACAGTGCGGGACGCCTGTGACTGCTGCTGGGAGTGTGCCAACCTGGAGGGACAGATCTGCGACCTGGACAACACCAACCACTTCTACGGCAAGTGCGGGGAGCACCTGGAGTGCCGGCTGGACCCTGGCGACCTACAGCACGGAGAGGTGCCCGAGCCCCAGTGTGCCTGCCCCACCTGGCCCTCTGTGGCTCCGACGGCAAAACCTATGCCCAGATCTGCAGGTTCCTGGAGGTCACCCGTGCCCACCCCGACGCCAACCTCACCGTGGCCCACGAGGGTCCCTGCGAGTCAGGTAGCATCCATGGGGACATGGCAGTGCTGGGAACTGCATCATAGAGCAGCAGGTCCCCCCAGTCACTCCACCCTGCTGCTCCGGGACAGCCCCTGCAGATCCAGCACCTGGAGAGGTCTGGGAACAGCTTTGCCAAGTGGGAGCAGGGTTTATGGGAAGCAGAAAATCCTGCCGGAGCAGATGGGAAAGTTCCAGGGAATTGTTAGCAAATTCTTGGCGGCAGCGCTGGGCTCATGCTGCCCCGGCGCTCCCGAGAAATGCGGCTGCCTCCTCCAAATGGAAACCTGAGTTGATTTGACTCGGCTGCACGATTCCTATCTCCCGTTTAAAAACCCAGTAGGGGTCTGGAGGGGCAGGCAGTGGTGGGGAGATCGTGCCCCAGCCTGCCCAGTCCACACAGGTCACCCGATGCTGTCACCGCAGCCCAAGGGGTGTCAAGGTTGGCTTTATTTTCTGTGGATTATCATGTCCTTGAGTTTTTCCCCTGGGTATATTTGGAGGTGGAGGCCTTCCCTTGACTCATGCTATCGGCCAGAGATGTGGGTAGGAAGGGTGGTCCTCACTCCATCCTTCTAGAGAAAGGATGTGAGACCTGGAGATATTGGCTCCATACAGCAGCCAGGGACCTGCTCATTCCCTTAATCACTGGCACAAGCCCGGTGCCAGAGCAGAGGCCTCGTTCGGCTGAAAGCTCAGCTGGAGAGTGCCCCTCTGCCTTTGCCCCGCAGGAGCAGCATGTCTGACCATAAAGGAGAGCTTTGCTTTGTAGTGTTTCTGTTACTGAACTGTTCCCTGCTGCCCATGTGTCTCTGAGCATCACTGCACAGGTGAGGAAAGCGAGGCCAGGAGGGATGGCAACCCCCCATGGGCTGGGGGGGCTGGAGAGGGAGCTCCCAGTTTTTTTTGTCCTGGGGCAAGGTGAGGGTCTGTCATGGGTAGGAGAGAAGAGGGGCATGGGAAGGGGCCCAGCATCTCTACATGAGCCAAATGCTCCCACCCCAGAGGGGACCAGCCCAGGAGAGTCCATGGAACCTGCCAAGGGTGGGACCTCTTCTGAGCCCACCCTGCTCTCCTGTCCCCCCATCCCCAGAGCCCCAGATCACCTCTCCTCCCTACGACACATGGAACATCACTGGACAGGATGTCATCTTTGGCTGCGAGGTCTTTGCCTACCCCATGGCATCCATTGAGTGGAGGAAGGACGGCACGGAGATGCTGCTGCCTGGAGATGACCCCCACATCTCTGTCCAGGTGAGCAGGCAGTGCACCTGGGACGTTAGACATGGCCTCAGGGTGACCCAGCGCTTCCTAGAACTCGTGGGCAACCAGGGTAGTCATCCTCTGGAGGTGGCCAGGCCTGGCTGCCTGGGGATGAGGAGGGGTGACTGAAGCCTGCACACCATGAGGACTGGCTGAGCCAGGGCTGGTGTCTCAGTGGTAGGAACCATCAGCATATCTCTCTTCTGCAATTTTTTCTAGTAGTTTTTGAATGTGTAAATGTCTTTCAGGACCTGTACAGTCCTGCAGCAGGGAGTTTCCCACCTCTCTGCCTTTAGTTTGCTCTGCCTGCTGGCTTTACCTACAGTCCCACTGGCAGAGCTGGAGGAGAAGACCTCCCAAGGCCCCTTCCAGCCTAGGTTATCCTCTGCTCCCACCAGCAGACTCAGGCAGTCCCTGCCCTTTTCTGCTTGGAGCCGGGCTCCCCTCCCAGAGCTGGCATGTCCAGGGGTCAGCATCCTGCCTGTGGCTGGCCCCGAATATAGTGCCCAGCCTGGTGTACCCAGCTATTAGAGGTTGTGGGCAGAGGCACAGGGGCCATGCACCGCAGCCAGGCACTGGCAGGGAGAAAATGGTGGTGGGACAGATGGAGTGAGCCAGGGGAGCAGGTGGGACCTGGCACCGTTGCAGGGTGACATGCTGGTCCCCCTCTGTCTTTCTGATCTTCACGTTGCCCCATAACCTGTTGCAGGGTGCAGCCAAGGACCTTCACCACAAGCAGGGCT